CTTTTGATCGTGGGGTTGTAGGGCGGTGGTGCGAGGGATGGGGGGGGTGGAGGGGGGGGGGTGCAATCAATGCAATAACGTTCAATAGAGCTTGCATACAAGATGCTGCGCTACTTCACGTGAACTTCAGTTCGAATAAGATGAGATCTACTTCAAACTAACCTCTTGTCACATACGTAATGCTACCCTAAATCAAGCACACTTCATGTAACATAGATGTTGCACGCTACTTGACGTTAACTTAATTCCAATTAAGATGTTATGTCACTTGAAGTTGGCTTCATGTAACATAAATGATGCTACGCTGCGTAGCGTTAATATAATATCAAATATATAACGTGTTATGCTACTTGAAGTTCGCTTCATGTAACATAGATGATGCTGCGCTACTTAACGATGACTTCATTTCAAATAAGATATCTCTTGTGAGAAAGTTGTTTTCTTTAAGAGTCCTGAAAACTGCAATTCCACTGACCCAAAATGAAAAAAGGCTGGCCTTCTTGCAAATACCAACAAATTCGAAGCCTTGAAATTTTGACTTCCACATAAACATGCTCCGAAATCCAGGTTTTGAGCTCTTGCCATTTTGAACAATGTTCAAACTCTTATGGGGCGCTATTGGCGCCGGTACCAAGTTTGTAAGTTTGTATGGGGGTTTCCACCAATGTGGATACCCCAAAATGGTTGATTTATAAGTAAGGGAAAATCCTATTAACATGGGTGAGTTGGGGTACCCCCCATTTCAGGAAACCTCCATATAATATACATCTCTAGGAAGTGCATTATGAACATGTATTCTCACCCAGATCAAGTTACTGAATGCTTATGAGCTGCATGAATATTCACATCCGTATCCATGCATTATCCCCACTGTATTATACATACATACATACATATATATATATATGTATTATAATTATATATACATACATATTAATATATATATATATACATATAGAAATAGACATAAAGTTCTTACATGGGCTCATGGGCTCAATCTCGATTACCCACCTCGCCCCCAAGTAGCCATACCTTTGACTTCGATGGTACAGACGGCATCCCAAAATCGGACCAACTCCATCTACAGCATGTCAAAGTTGATAAATGGAGTTGGGTAGATTCATGTATCAACTTTATATTTATATCCATTGATATCCATTTATTGGACATTTATTTGTTGCGCATATATATATATATATATATATATAACTATATATATATATATATATAAATGCTCTATCATTTACTCTGACATTGGTCGATGATTTGTTTCGATGTTTTAGGGCATGGCCACCCTGGCCTCCACTTAAAGTGCTGGCCGCCAACCCCAAAGGGGTTGGACCATGAAGAAGGAGCGCCATGACATCAGAAATCGGTGGCAGCTTATTGGCTGCCCTTGGGGTTGTTTGACATTGGGATTCCCTCCGAATTTTCCATGGATCGTATGTATATGTAATTATATAATATGTCCATTTACTGCCGGCATATATGTTTTAGATAGCACTATTGGACAAACCCAGATCATAGTGTCGATTTTATGGTTTTATACCAGTAGTACCGCACAAGGCGGTGGCGGAAGTTTCAAAGATAGGACACTATAGGAGAGATGAGTTGTTGTGATGCATGGATGGCAGAGCGAATCCACTGATGGACCGGAAGGTGGTTGGAGTTGTGTGTTTTGGAGTAGTTGCAGTGGTTGCAGTGGTCACGTCACCCACAACTGCTGGATGTGGTGTGGTGTAGTGCAGTTGTAGTTGTAGTGTAGTGTAGTGGCGTTGTAGTGTAATTGGTGTAGTGCAGTTGCAGTTGTAGTTGCGTTGTGTGGTGTAATTATTGTAGTATATACTAAAATGTAGTGGAGTGTAGTGTACAGTTGTGTTGTGTACTTTATTGCCGTATATTGTAGTATACTGTGGTGTAGTCTAGCGTGGCGTAGTGTAAAGTAGTGTAGTTGTAGCTGTAGTAGTAGTGTAGTGTAGTTTATAGTTAATTAGTGTAGTGTAGTGTAGTGTAGTGTAGTGTGATTGGTGTAGTGCAATGTAGCCTAGTCAATTTGCATATGTAGTTGTAGAAGTTGTAGTGCAGTAGGGTGTCGGGTGGTGTGGGGTAGTTTACTGTAGTATAGTTAGTGTAGTGTAGTGTAATTGTAGTTGTTGTGGTAGTTGTAGTTGTATTTGTGATGTAGCGTAGTGTAGCGGAATGTAGTGTAGTGTAGGGTAGTGTAGTGGTAGTTGAAGTTGTAGTTGTAGCTGTAGCTGTGGTAGTAGTAGTAGTAGTCGTCGTCGTCGTAGTAGTAGTAGTAGTTGTTGTTGTTGTTGTGGTGGTTGTCGTTGTCGTTTTTAACGTTATCTTTGTTGTTGTTGTTGTTGTTGTTGTTGTTCTTGTTCTTGTTCTTGTTGTTGTTGTTGTTGTTGTTGTGGTCGTCGTCGTCGTCGTCGTCGTTGTTGTTGTTGTTGTTGCCGTTGTCGTGTCGTGAACGTCCAAAAGTTGTACGAACGCGTTGTGTTTTGTACATCTTGGCTTGGAAACTTGGTTCGCGCCACAATGGAGTGCACTTTTTCGACATCTGAACTTCAAAAAGTGCTCCGAGACCGCAAGTTCAGGTGCTTTTAGCATTTTGCTTTGGAAATGTGCTTCGCGCCACAACGGCGCGCAATTTTTCATCTCTCATCTGACCAAATGGCTCCGCACCCGCTGCTTTAGCGAGCCTACTTTTCGACCATGCGGACCCACAAAACATTCAAAAAACACAGTGCTTCGTGACTTTTCTACCTTTTCGCGCACCTGCATCTTCTTTCTTCTGACTCTTTCTTTTCTCTAATCTTCTTTCTTCTTATCTTCTCTTCTCTGACTCCTCCCACCTCTGCTTTTCCATCTTTCTATATTGTCTGAAGTTTGGCTTCTAAACTTCCTTCGGTTATTGTATATATAAGTATATATATATATATATATATCCCCATGAAATGGTTGGTTGGATTTATTTTTGCCGCGTGTTTCTCTTTTCCAAAGCTCATATCATTTGTATCTATATTATATCTATCTACTTGTGGGTTTCTGGAAATGAGGGATCCCAAAGCCATAGGTTTCAATACTGAAATTGTTGATTTTGGATCATTGCAGGGCACCTTCATCTTAAGTGGTTGGTGGTTTGACATTTTGCTAAAGAATATGTGTGATCCCCAATGGCTACAATAATCTTTCCAGAGGGGCAAAAACCACCAAGCTTAATATTGTTTGATACTGTGTGTTAATTCCCTGTGGTTGACAATGAATCACATCTACTTGAGCCGCAGTTACCCTTACCGATGCCCCCTGTAAATCAATACTGCACCATGACGGTAAAATTGCTCCGCAAATGTGGTTAGCGATCGGGCCTTTCCAAATGGTGATGTCCGTTTTCATATACAACGAGTTTTGACAGCCGCGCATATCCAAGATATGATTTACCCATACATCTCACAAACCTCAGTTAATCATGTTAATGCATGATTTTTCCGTTAGGTTAATCCCCAGTTAATATGTTTTTGTTGTTTTTTTCTCTCTTTCTCTCTCTCCCACACATATATACATATACATATTCATATATTACCCTTGTCTTATTTGTCTCTGTTTCCCTGTCAAAGTGCCCAGGTGCCAACCCCTCCCTGCAGAACTTGCAGGGGTTGAGTGCGTGGAACTTGGCGTGTGGAAGCCGAGGATTGAGTATGGGTTTTAACATGGTGACCAGTTCAGCCATAAAAGACTGTAGCTACCGGAAAACTGATAATCATTGCTACATCAACTTGGATGGTTATAGCGGTGATTTAGTGTTTTGGGCAATTGGGCAAGTCCCGTGTTGCATTATAGATCATTATAGCAGTCGTGGGATTGGAAATGCTCCACGCGGCCAGATGAGCTTATGTCAGTCGCATGTTAGAAAGTCCCGCTTGAATCATTTGGGTGGTAACCCTTAAAAAAGTGCTGAGGGTCCATGAAGATGAAATTTCAGCGAGTACACAATTCGGGGGGTTATTATAAAAGCCTGGGTTGATATAAGCGATTCTGGCAAATGGGAAAGAGGTCAATACGTGATGTGTCGTTTGGCGTTCATCATCATTTTGGACAAAAAACCGTAGCAGTGATTCCCCGATCAAAATGGAGGTTCTCCTGGAAACATTATTTATACACACGGGATTTTTCATTGCCACGTTTGATTATTGGAGGCGATTTTTTTGGAAATGTGCAACATTCAACCAATCATGTCAATGGGTCCGAATTGGCCCAATTCTGGCCGCTCTGGGCCACATGGTGGATCAAATAAAGGAGGTTACCCTGCTGACATCTTTGGTTTTTGGCTCGAAGCATCCTACGCAGTTCTCGAGTTCAAGGGCGACCAGGGCGGTGATGCAAGGGAAGGGCCACCATTAAATGGACGACATGCAACCCAAAATGGCCAAACAATGGCATTTTCAGTAATGTTCAGTTGGCCTAAATCGAGGCATCTTCGTCCATGTATGATATGAACTAAGCCGAGAGGCCGACTGACTCAGTGGCTGAAATCCACACGGAGAGCGCTACGGATCGATGCCCGATATGGTAATACATGGCTGGAAAATCCATGAAAATCCTCTGTTATATATAATTATAGTTTTTCCATTTGGATTGTTGTTTTTTGTGTGATTGTCCATTGCCACGTTTGACTGGGAGAGGGTAACAAATGAATCATACCAGATTCATGTCCACCACATTCCGATGGTTGAATCAGTTGAATTTTGCGATTCCTTTTTTGAGTACAACACTCGCTGATCAATAAAGACGGCAGTTTGGTGGGTTTTCAACCATGTTTTTTTATTCTATTTCAGGCGTCCAATTCCTGGCACCGAATAATGATTTGGTTGTTTTACTTGAGTAGCTCAAGCAGCCAGCAGACGTTCAAAACAGGTCAACCGTCTCAAACAACCCTGCGGCAACAGCTTTGACAGGACCGCACAAAGGCAACCGCCCATCGTTTTCCGATTGCCATGGCCACTCCAGAGTATGTCTCTTGCCATAGAACTTCGTGGCGGGAAGGTGTCCGTGTATTTACATGTATGTCCCATCATTTTCTCTTGTATAGTAACTAGATGTAACAAGATATAACTAGATTAACTAGTATAGTAGATATCAAATGATATTATAAATATATATATATATATAATATCGATATCACCTGAAATTGGGCATGGCTCAAAAAGTATTGCTTCCTCAATGCGAAATTGCTTGGCCAAGATGACCCGCCATGAATCAATGGATATCACGGAAAACAAGACAGAGAGAGAGAAAGAGAGAGAGAGAGAGCGAGAGAAAATGGAATGCATGTTGTTTTTTCTTAAAAAAAACATGATTATTGTTAAACCCAGATACCATTGATTATGTTAATTATTGTTTATCCAATGTCTGACTATTGTTAATTTATTTGGGAGTTGGATGAAAACCTATTCACCATTCAAACCATATTGTTCATCGCATGTTGTTTTCCTTTTTGTGGGACGGGAATGACTATGCCGGGACCAAACCTTGTGCCTGGACCATGAACATTTGGAAAATATGTGCCCCCAAAGTATCTGGGGATAACCAACGCTTTCCTAATTTTTCCTGTAGGTTTTCCCTTCAATCCATTGAGTTTAGCTAATTTCTTTTTTGGCGGCGGAGGGTCTCAATGATACTCAGGACTACCTGTTCAAGCTGCTTTTGATTGGAGACTCAGGCACAAAAAGGATTAAACGCCGTGGAAAGGGATTGGTTGGGCTGGAGTTTTGCGTTTTTCTCCAGGTTTCAAAGTGCATCACCTAAAAGGGTTGTCATTTAGTACTATGCCTAGTTGTTGTCGTGACAGTGTTTGCAGTCACGCAGAATGTTAAGCATGGCAATGGAAAATGTGCAATGTGTGGATTATGCTCACAATATTTCAAAATCAAATTGGATGAAATTGGTGATTTTGCATTGCCATGTTGAATTGCCAGTGGACCCTGCACTCACCCTGACTAAACAAAGTGTATATATATATATACATATGGATATGTGTGTGTATGCACAGATAGCATGCAGGTGTGGCAGGGCACCCGAGGCAGTTCTACACGATGGGTGTGCAGCCAGTTACGAATCAGCAAACCTGGGGAAACATCCAAGTAATCCTTTCCACAGAATATTAAACTCACAGCCTGAAAAACATCTTAAAGCCATTGCTCAGTAGTCAGTGCTAGATCTATTTCTGGATTGGGGGCAAACATATGGAGGTGTTCCAAATATGTGGGTTACATGGGGGGAAAGGGATTAGTGTCAGTGCAGTTTGGGATGATCCTCACGCGATGAGTGAGAGGTAGGGGTAACATGGGGTAACCATCAAGAAACTGTCGACGAATCCATGGAATCCGAAAAACTTATCTAGGAACAGCATTTCAGGGGGTGATATGGGTTCTATTTCAGTCATGATATATTATTTTATATTCATGTTTGTGGGTCAATTTAGCCAAGGAACGAGTCAATCAGTTGGTTGATAGTTAAATCCCATTAAATCATGTTTTTTCTGGGGTAAATCAGTTTGTTGATAGTACAGTCAAATCCCTTTTGTGCTCGGCAAAATCCCCCATGTGGACCGCAGCCGCAGGTGTTGGGAAGTCGTGTTTGCTGCTCCGTTTCGCGGACGACACCTACACTGAATCTTGGTGGCCTGTGAGGCTCGTGAATTCCTGTGGAATGATGGGAGTTGGATTGGGACAACTATCGCAGTCTGTGGCTGAACCTTTCAGGTTGATGAATATATTTTCAAAAAATGTACGGTATGTTTTTTATGATATGAATCATTTTGAACGCATTCAGTGTTGTTTATTTTCACATATTTATATATTATTATTTTATATATCATATATATTATACATATCATTTACATTCACAATATATACATACTTCTCTTACTGCAATTCATCCAGATCCCTGACTTATATAGTGACCTTCATGAAAAAAGGTGTTTAAACCAAGGGGATTGTTACCATTTTGAAGATGCAACCAACATGACGTTTGTGATCCGGTCCAGAAGCCGATGGGCCAACTCGTTCGGGAATGATCTAAGGGCTGTGAGGGTCGGCTATCCAATGAGGGTCGGCTAAAGGGATTGGAATATTTCAAGACCTGGATGTCTCATGATGTTGTGGAAACCAGTTCGTTTTGATGAACTCTATATACCGTGATTTTTCACATACTGTTCATATCGGTTTGATTTACCTTCCCTGCGTTTGAAGATAATCCCAAGTATTCAATTGATCTTCAAAGTCGTCGTGATGCTGATCGCGCCTGCGGACTCTGTTTGAAACTGACATGATGGGTGATGGTCTCAAATACTCTCCAGTAGTTAAACTTACTTAAATACGGACATGTTATGGGTTTTCCTATATTTATCTAGATCAGTTTGCCGGAGACTAGTTGTTTTCCATTGCTATTTTAAGGATACATTTCGGTGACGATCATCAGATCATCAAAACTAACACATGATTTTAATATTTGTTTGACGCTGGATGCCTTTAAAAGAAGGCCATAAGCAGCTATGTGGTTCAGCTCCTGTCTTGGGGAAGATGACTTTTGCTTTCTGAGGAGAGCTACATCAGCACCATCGGTGTGGACTTCAAGATCCGCACGCTGGAGCAGGAGTGATTTTGTTACACAGCCTGGTTTGGAGATCTTCTAGCGGCAGCCAGGGGAAATCACCATAGACCATTAGGGGAAATCATCCCAACTGGCCTTCAATCTGGTTAGATAATGTTAGATAAACACGATGCGTTTTTTCGACATGGTCATTCTCACCCACCATCGTGGTCATCATTATCAACACAATCATCTCATCCCCTCATCCCATATCATCCCCCTTTCTCAGTCGAATATCCTCCCTTGGAGGGATCCGAAATGAAGACCGACCCCATCGAGTTCATCAAAATTTAGGGAAGGAATTCATGTGGTAAACTTCCAAGTAGCCATCCGTTCCTTTAGGGATCTTTAGGGGGTCAAATCATCCCTCAGGTGTAAACAGGTATCAGATACACCCATGTAGACCCCACATTAAACCCAAATTGGATGACAGACACGGCCTCCGGGTACCACAGCCATCAATCGGAGGGTCACAGCCAGGAGTCCAAGACCATCAAGCTGCAGCAGCTGGGCAAAGTCACCACATGTTCCGAGTTTTCAGCATCACTGGGGTGGTTGAAACATGTTAACACAAAGCATGGATTGTACCGGTTGAATATCTGGAATACCAGCAGCCTGCTGTTTTTTTCGATGAAATTTCCTTCAGGAACCTAGGCTGAAGTAAAAGAGAAGGTTGCTAAATAAACATTTCTGTTGTCTCAGCCCAAAAAAACACATCCGTTTCACCTGTTTCGCTGGATTTCTGCTGGGTCAGTTTCCATTCTTACACGCTTCACACTTTTCTGTTGATCTTTATACAAATTTACACGCTTTAACGCATGGATGGGCAGACCTGTAGCATCCTGTAGCATACCAAAGTCTAAACTAAACTGCATTGAAAACAACCACAAAAGATACGCTGTTTGGTCAGAAATTTACATGATTTGGGACTTTAAGCTGTTTCGTTTGTTTTTTTTGCCAGAATCATTGAAAATCCAAACACCTCTGACGACCAGAACTCCACTCTACCCACCAGCCCTACAAATCAATGACTGGCTCAAGTTGCCCTTCAGAAACGTAAGGACCCTCAAGTGTTCCAACTTTGTGCTGTCAATGTGCTTCATCCACTCAGCAGTGTCAGGTGAGGCACTGTCTGTGGTGGATGACTATGAAGGGAAGTCTGCACGAGAGATAAAAGACAGGTTAGCAATCCGCCTTGGCTTCTCCAGATTTCGGCAGAGGTTGTGGTCTGCAGATTGGTCTCACGAAATTCAGGATGACGAGGTTTTTACCTCGGAACAAACGATGGTTCAATTGGTGGTCTTAGAACACTTGCCCCAGGATTCTGAAGCAAATCAGATGATGATCAGCATGGCCGGGGTAAACAACTCGATCGAGCTTGAGGAGTTGCTTCACCGATGATGGAAATTCACTTGGCCTATCGTTGCTGCACTATGCAGCCTTTTTGGGCCATGTCGACATCGTTGACTTGCTTCTTGAGGCTGAGGCTGATATCAACAAAGCCACAAAAGCACTTGGAGCTACGCCGTTGTACCTTGCGGCCCAGGAAGGTCAGGCCGAAGTTGTGCGCTTGCTGCTCGAGGCTGGGGCTGACATCAAAGTAGCCCTAGCAGAAAATGCTGAAGCAACACCGTTGTGCATTGCAGCTCAGAAGGGCCATGCCGAAGTGGCGCGATTGCTGAGTGAGGCTGGAGTTGACATCGACAAAGCCCAAGCTGAAGGAAGCTAGTGCTTTACTTTACTCAGTGATGCCAGAACTGACACGATATCACATATATGTAATTGTTGCGTTTGGAGGTCAAGATGCTTGCTCTTTTTCTGGTCATATTCTCTCCGTTCTCCAATCATCGAGTGGCAGGTGCCCCTGCCGTGCCATTTAATGGGTGCCATTTGCCTATAAACATCTCCATGTCTTCCCTCCTGGGTGCTCCGGGGTCGACCGTTGACAAAGTTTTGCAGGAGAAGGTAGAGGGGCGATGATGGGGTGTCGGCGTGTTTTTGGAAATGAGTGCGAGATCCTTAACGAAAACCCAACCATGAAGGGTCGGCTGGCTAGTAGTAGCAGACGGGGGATACAACTATCATCAGACTTAGAATCGAAATCGGTCCAAATGACAGATGGCTTTCACGGCCGCAGTTTCTCAATGGCCGATCCTGTCATGGATGCCTGTCACCCTGGGGAAATCAAAATTCATCGCAAGAAAAACCAAGTTTGTGTTTGTGAGCTGATGTTTAGAAAACTTCCCATATGTATGTACATAATTAGCTATCAACCCTTCACTGTATCAAGCAGTATCACTGATGTTATGGGAATTATGTGGTATGACTATGAATCATTTTTGTTATAACTACAGCAATTTTTCTCGTTCTGTTCAGTGGAGAGGCATCAAAAACATCACAATTTGGGGTGCCCCAACATGATAAATAATTATTCTGGTAAATCCGCACTATATACCATTATACCCCCATTATACCATCATTCTTGGTCAAATCATATGAGCAATTATCCTAATTACCATACTTCCAGTATACCCCCATTATTCTCCCAGCTATACCTCTGGTTATTTAACATAGCCATGGAAAATGGCCCATTGAAATAGATGATTTTCCCAGCTATAAACCTCCATTTCTAAGGGATTTTCCATGGCTATGTTAGTCATAACCAGAGGGTATAGCTCCATTAAACCACGATTTTCCCCATAACCAGCCCAAGTTTCACGCGGACGCCTGAGGATTTGGGACACAGCCGGGCAGGAGCGCTTTCGAACCATCACCAGCAGCCAGCGGCCCAGAAGGGGTATTAAAAATAGAAATCATGGTGTTATGTATGACTAACTATGGCTAATGGTGGTCTCATTATGGTTAGTCAATGGTTGATAAATTAAATTAATACCCTCTGGTAAACATACAAAAAAAACTATGGAAATCACAATTTCTATGGGTAAATCAGCTATAATAGCAATTTTCAATAGCTTTTTGTATGTTTACCAGAGGGTAATATTGAACGGACCTTAATACTCAACCAGGAATTTGTGATTGTTTTTTATGTTTGAGGAAAGGGGTTTGCATAACCCGTAGCAAAAGAATGCTGGGGATTGTTTAGTGCTGATTGCAAACAAACTCTTATCCGTCGCTCCCATCCCACTAAATATCCAACACAGAATAGGAAGGATCCCACCAAACACACACACACACACTGTGGCACGCATTTTTTGATTTAAAGTCCCATTTCCTTTATAATATATATATAATATTAATATAAATATGTTTTATTAAACATCCAATTTCTATGGTCTCAAGTATGTGTGTTTCTTGGGGGTGTTGGCCCATATTATGGGTGTGGGATTGGATCCTTCATGCCGTGTGCCGAGGCTACTACCGCGGCGCTCATGGCATCATTGTTGTCTATGATGCCGCCCGGCAGATGGCCAGAAGTCACCACTGGGAATGACCGATGAACAACACGTGACAAAAGAAATGGCGTTTCCAACAGAACCTTGTTGCCATGCATAAATACATATACAAATACAAATGCATACGGAATGGAATAAATTGGCAACACACACACATATCCCACTACTTCCAAGAACAAAGTTAAACGTTGTCGTCCAAATAAAGCCATGACTTTACTTAAAGACACTCATTGACTGCTGATATATATATATATATAGTCAAAAAAGGGTGACCTTTCCCCTGAGCCTATTCGAATCCGTAAATCAATCCTCAAAATTCTGAATAAAAATATGTGGTTTCCATGCTCAAGTTTTTGATTGGTTTTCACGGGTTTTTCACTGTCTTTTCACGGGTTTTTCACGGTGGTTTCACGCACTTTTCACGCTCTGGGTTTGGAGTGGGATTTGTTTGAAACTCTGGAGTCCGGTATATATTTATACTAGCACTCATTGGGTCTGATAATGCCCAGTAAACACATGTCGCTTCCAAAGACCAAGTCTTTGTCGTTGTGAAAGCCCCAGTTAAACTTTGTCGAAGACTGAGTGGGTATATATATATATATATTACGTATAAGATAGTGCAAATGATGTTTGAGAGAGGTATTTGTACATGTTAGTTCATTTAAGATAGCTACCCCGCTCTTGATTTGTCCGTAGTTGAACAGACGAAAACATCCGTGGCCACAAGATCCTGGCACTGGCGAGTGGTAGGCGGTGACCAGGCTTGGGCTATGTTTAGCCAGACGCGGAAGAATATGGCTACAGTGTTTGAAATGATGGATATCTAGAAAAACAAATATATATATATATTTATTTATTTATTTAATGATATTTCTACTGTAGGTCATATGCTTGAACATGGGGAAATCTAGGTAATTAGTATGCTGGAACAATATGGGAAAAACAATGTGTCAGGAAAAACAATATGTCAGGAATGTCCAGTATATTGGTTTCCTCATTTTGTTTTTTTCGTTTCCAAGTCGCAGGATTTTCAGCCTTTGCTGATGTTGCCTGTGAGGTGACTGATAAGGAGTCCTTCAACAACGTGAAGCATTGGGTCCAGGAGGGGAGATCTGACCAAAATTTGGATCTGGAGGATTTTTGATGGTGATTCAATGGTGATTTAACGGTATCTAATAGGATTTAAAGGGATTCAACATGATTTTAATGGCGTTTCACTGGGTTTGATAGGGATTCAATGGTAGTTTATATATACATATATACATATATATGGGATGTAGTAGGGTACAATCAACCAAATCTAAGCAACAATATGACTTGATCTATGCACCCTCCAGTGCACGGAAAAATAGCAAGTTCTAGATGAATTACATATTAAACATGGTGATTTTCCATGGCCATGATAAATTACCAGATGATATCATATGCAGATTCAATGAGATGTAAGATGATAGAACTAACCAATGCTAAGATTTGGGTTTGATCCACAAACTCCTTGAAAAACAGATGCCATTAGCCATAGTCACGGGGGCTTGCAGTATCCCAGACCCAGCAGACCTAGCTTCTCCGCTCCTTTGAACTTGGGCCCAATAGTATGATTTGTATATCCAAACCTTAGTAACCTTTTATTGAAGAGTCATGAAGCATCCTTGATATGAAATCTTACTTGTGATCATGCATTGTATGACAGTTGTTTAAATAATTTAACTTAAAACAACATCATAAATTGTTTACTTTGTTTTTGCCACGGAACCCATTTTTTTGGCCATTGACCACCTGGGGAATCACAGGGAAATTGATCAGCCAACAGGAGATTGACAAGTACGCAGCTGATGGCGTGAACAAACTCTTGGTGGGTCACTTCTGCCGCACTGCGGGGACAAAAAACACATGGGACGGAGATTGAAAGACACACTGAGAGAGAGAGGGCAGTGAGGGAGGTTGACAGGTTGACAGGTGGATAGGTGGAGCAGTTTGGTGATGACCATCTCCCACATTTTTCAGCATTTTCCTGAGGCAACAAGTGCGACCTGTCTTCGAAGAAGGTAGTGTCATATGATGAGGCCAAGGACTGCTACGCAACTAATGGCTGACTTGGAGCCACGGTTGTCTTTTCGGGATTCAACCTGGGGCAGCCACAAGCAACAACCACTTCTAGAAAGGGTTTTAGTCACCAGCTGTCATTGGGAGGGTTGCTTTAATTTAATCAATAATATACATGTACATATATATATATATATACTTGTATACATATATAGTCACACACACATATATATATATATATATATACATATACATGTGTTTATATATTTATTGCATTGACATAAGCTTATCATTGTTTACGGCTAGCATAGGTACCATTTTGATTGTTTCCACAACAATATCAATAAGACATGCACTTTGTTAGAGGGAACTTGCAGGAAAGCCTCATAATTGAGGGGAAAACAATGGTTTCCTATGGATGTTTTGGGAGTTGGAAGGCTAGATTTCCTCTAAACAACTTCAATTAGTTGTGGAAAGATTGAACAGGTTTATATACCTCTAGGGAAAGTGTAAAGTGTCCCCCATGAGCTTTCCCTCCAAGAAGCCTGAACTGTTCATAGGCACCATATCGCCAGTGCTTCCCTGGTGTGCTTTCCTTTCCTGGTGGTATCACTTAGCAGCAGAAATGGGTGGTATAATCCCACTAATAAATTAAAGGTTTATGCTACCATGGCACTGGGTCTTCCACATTCATATTTTCATATCATACTATATGGAAGAACCCCCAATGTATTCCCATTTTACAATCATTGTATTGCATTGTATCATCTAGCATACTGAATCAATGGGGATGTTAGAATATATTAGAGCATAGATATCATTATATAGATAATCTAGTACATCACCATGTTTCATGGGTAAATCGACTATTTATATGGCATTTTTCATTAGCAAACTGTTAGTTTACCAGAGGGTATTCATTTAATTTATCAACCATTTAACCATGATTAATTATAATTAGACCACCATTAACAATACTTAGTCATACATAACTATGGAAAATCACTATTTTTCATAGGTAAATCAACTATAAATCACCATTTTCAATAGCTTTTTGTATGTTTACCAGGCCGGGTATCTAAAAAAGACACAACATGGACGATGCCGCAGGAGTTGGCGGACTCCTTTGGCATCCAGTTCATGGAGACCAGCGCCAAGAACGCCCACAACGTGGAGCAGGAGCCAATCGGGAAATCCATGGGAAATCTGAGTGTAGTTGTGTAAATAAAAAGCGAAATAATTAAAGCTCATATATATATATATATATATGTATGTGTGACTAGAGCTATAATAAATATGTATATAAATAAATATATATATTTATATATTTTACATATGACTAGAGCTACGATAAATTTGTATTTTTTTCATATGACTAGAGCTTTAATAGATTTGTATATATATATATATATATGGCTAGAGCTACAATATGTATATATATATATATTATTATTATATGTACATAATATGTGTGTGTGGCTAGAGCTTATGTGTGACTAGAGCTATAAAACATATGTATATATATATGTGACTAAAGCAAAACTTTCTCTCTATATATATATATATATGTACATACGTGGCTAGAGCTATAATTAAAATAAATATGTATATGTATATGTTTATGTATGTATGTGACTAGAACTAGAACATATATGTATATTAAGAATTATATATATATATATACATGTATGCATGTGTTTTCTTGTGCATGATTTATGCTGTATATGGTATATGTATGCAGTTATATATATATATATATACACATTATATCACCATCAAACATTTGATTCGTATTGGTGCGTATTGAGTCCTATTGTCATATCATTTCCAACTAAGTCACTAGAATCTCTTACATCGATCCGTCCCAGTTTGTCAACCATGGAAGTGTCAGTTTAGCATCTCCCAAAGGGAGATATGCCCTTTGTTTATCTTACATAGCCATGGAAAACGGCCGATTTACAGATGATAAACATGATGATTAATCACCTATTAAAAAGAAACGAAATTTTCCAGCTACGTTGAACAACCAGAGGGTGACCAATATTTAGACATTTGGGGATTGTAAACTACTTGGTGGTTGGGAGGGGGCGGTTCGGAATGGGTATCCAAGTTCCCAGCCACGGGGGAGCTGAGCACCTATCGGGATGTTGTACTTTGAGCAATATTTGCAGCGAAAAATGAGGCCTGTAATAGGCCTGTACAGCAGTATGCCCACTGAAGACCAGCTCTATAGTTCTATCATAATTCTAGGGTCAACCTTAGTTTTGATATGTTTTGATACTTCTACAGTGTTTTTTTTGGTCTATGTATAAATGGATGTATTTCCGAAGGCCCGAAAGAGAAGTGCAGGGCATCTAGGATTGCCGTGTCGACGCCGAGGCCTTTCAGACAATGGCCAAGGAAATCAAGCAGCGCGTGGCGTCGCAACCGCAGGACGGGGCCCAGGAATGCAGATGGATGGGGTGTGTCTAACTGTAGATCTGTAGATAAATGAGCAACGCATAGCAATGCGCAACCCCCCTGTTAATTGATGATTAGTTCGTGGATTATACTAAGCTGTAATTATATATATATCGGACTCCATTAGGGGAATCCCTACCAACCAACCATTATAAAAGGACGACACAGGGTTTTGGATACTGATTGAATGATGACAAGTTGTTTGTAACACCAACGCTTGCTTTTGCCTCACAAAGAAATCATTTACCTAATTGAGTTTCATATTGACACCTAACTTGACATATATACATATATAATTATATATATATATGAATGTATGTATCTGTGTGACGCTGGAAACCAATCAACCAAAAGAAATGGTGACGCAACCAGCCTATGCATGGCGGGTTTAACCAACTCAGCAACTGGATGGCGCAACCCTGCAGCATTCCATCCCCTTTTCTGTGGTAGAATTGACAACATGTTCGAATATGGAATACATTATAATTAACAAAATCATATTAGAATATGTAGACAATGCCGATAGAATCATGATGGTTGTTGATGTTGTTTCCATGGTTGAATCCATCTAGAATGAATAAACATATATAATGACCCAAAATGACTACACATGACACACATGACCAAAACTGATTAAGAAAAAATCACAGTTTTCTTAACGAAAAGAAACGTAGTTTGACACATGACAGTCCACAACATGTAACAGTTTGTTACTTTTGACGGATAGTCACAACAAATAAGGAAAACTAAACCCAGGCTAAATGAGTTCCACTTCACATCATTTCACTATAAATTAGTTACATTTCTCATCATTACTCAAGGTTAAATGAGTTACTTTTCACTATATGTTAGTGATTTCCCATAGTCAGGTTAGATATGTTAGTTTACCAGGCCGGGTAGCACCAACTCACATCATTTCACGGGCCAGCCAGGCCAAGAGCGGTGCGGGCAGCACCACCTTGGGCGCTGGACGTCCTGTGAATCAGGGCGCTGGCGGCTGCTGTAAGTGAGGAGAAAACGTGGGGATGGGATGGGTGAACACACTGTATTGTTTTTCTGTAAAAAATACCGCATTGTTGTGTTTAATGTCATTATTGTTATTATTACTTATTGTTATTACTATGTTTGCAGGAATCATTATCCATATATCTATGATTGCTATAATTTGGAGGAATCATCATCATTAATCATCCATAAACCAACTATTTTAGGGTACCTAGGGTAGGGTTTTGACTCATAGCAATGTCATAGAACTCGGCATATTCAATAATATTGGTTAAAAACTGCCATAAATTTAGGATTATATCTACCAACCTTGTATTAAACAATAATATTGGTTGTTCAATATTCACCAACCTTAGAGGATTTTGGGCCTGAACATGATTGAGCCAACAAGACTTAAGGATTTAATCTACAGAGCTTGATTTCACCAGCCATGGTGAGTAATCAGCCGAGTTGGAATTTAACAATTTAAGCGTCAGCCAACAAAAAGGGCACACATTATTATATAGACTAAGGAAGTTGCCCGTTGACCAATAGAATTAGAAACCGTACAGACAGAAACGATGAGACGAAAACAAATAATGATGCGGGAGATCAAGAAAGAAAACGAGAACATGCTTTCAAGATTGTGAACCATAGAAAGATGTTAAGCGCAGACTGGCGGATGCAATCATTCATAATCACTTTGGCAGTTATTTCAGGTTGGTTTATTTCTGCATATTATATATATAATATATAATATGTCTATATATATATAGAGATATATACGCATACACATACAGTCTCAGTTATTATTTGTGCATATGTAATCATATGCATATATTATTGTAACACCCCAAATAGAGAAGTTTCTCCAGGATGCTAGTTCGACGGTTAATTACCCAGAATTTCCAGGTGTTCAATTCCCATAGATCCAGCCTGTCGGGGATTGAATATGATTTATCCATGTCATACCGGAATAGCTCAGTGTCCATTATCCTGGTAAAATTATAACGACCTCACTGCGACCGAAACTTGGAATCATGGTTGATAAGGGGAATGATCCCAAAATGGCCTGAAAATGGCCTTATTTCAGGTTAGTGAATTATTATAATTTGCCGAGATCATGTTGCCCTGTGCCCTATATATTCTTATCCAGTTTGTTTTTTTACATCTATAGATCCCCTAGGATTTTCCAACGATTTTCGCAGCTGCCAGCTCTCCAGGAGCTGCGTGGTCGCGTGAACCAGCGGTGGCGGAAGAGCGTGCAGAGTTTGGCCACCGTAAAGTTGCGGATCTCGTGATGAGGTGGGGAGACCCGATCCCTTCATTGGCCTGGGAGTTTGATGGATTCTATGGATTTGACAGGGGATATACAGTACATTTTACATATATATATATAGAGTTATAAAACATATATATATATATGTATATGTATATATACATATGTGTAAATATATATATATGTAAACATGTAATCCCATTGGGGAGGAATTGGGTCTTCCATTGAACGCACCTTGGTGAGAGGATGGTTGATGAGCTGAATCAGTGTTTTAATAAATAGCATTACTAATTCCATCTCTCGTTCATATTAAACACACCCAATTCGATGGTCGCAAGTATGTATGTTGGTCCCACAATTACTAAACTATGTTTTTCGCACTGCCTAATAGTTGCAGGCTAGGATATAGTTGAGATCTGAATGGGGCAGTTTCGTGGATAGGGCTATGAACAGGATATCATGAGCCATCATCAACAGGATACCTACATTGGGATTGGATAGGTATATTTTTCATGGCTTATTTGAATGCATGCCCTAGGCATCCCCCTCCCATTGTGATAGAAACTGATAGGCACTGATTGGGGCATCCAATGTCATCCTCATCATCGTACCCTCAAGCCACCATTCGAAGAGGATATTTATATAGTTGGATCGACACAGATGATTCCTAACGTCAAACCTGGATGTGTTGTTGTTTTTGATGAAATCTGATGAATTAACTACGGGGTCACTGAAAAAATGCGGCAGTTGGTTTCTAGCATAGTACCACCCGAACCAAACAGCCCTCAGGGGTTATCATGGGTTATCATTCTGGGGTTGACATTATAACCAACTCCTTTATGTGTTGTAGCAACAAAGATGATGCAAGTTTCCATTTCGGGGAATATAGATTTACCCAGGTATGTATATTCACTTCTTGCCATGCAAATATGTGATATAGATATATACATGTGTGTAAGCAGATATCTGAATTACATGTATCATTCATTCGTTTGGGTGTGGGTTGATTTGCCAATTGGGGGCCATCAAGGGGGAAAGACGTAGAACATTTTGGTTAGCAACAACAATGTTGCTGATGATGCCTGTTGGTGATGCCAGTCCTTCAGTTGATGCGATTTGAGTCCTATGACTCATGAAGCCTTTGGTCATCAAACATTGCACTGGAGAATCTCGAGCTGAAGATTCTGCAGATGATGTATTTTCCTCAACACATAGTTTTTTGGCTGGTTTGAAATAGTTTTTATGTTCAACCATGTTTGGGATGATGATCACAAAGGACACCATGTTTTTAGGTGGTTGAAAAAATCACCCATGCGACCTTGAAAAAAGCCCGGGATATGAGAAGTCACTGCAATAGATGAGTCTCAGCCCAGCACAGTTTCCACAGTTTCAGAATGGTTGGAGGTGCTGATAGGTTGGAGTCTGGTTGTCAGGATAGGCATTTGTTTATTTTCACACCCAATCAAAAATCGAACGCGCTCTCAATGTGTCTTATTGATCCATGCAATTTCCAGTCAAATCATTTCCAGTTTAAGACTATGGGACTTCTATTAGCTGCGTGGGAATTCCTTTTTGTACTCAAAAGTCCAAGCCCTGCTGATGCAAGCAGGTGCAGGTGAGTGCAGCAGCACAGGATGAAAACAACTGAGAACCCTACCGTGATGTGCCGTGAAAAGTCACGGCCATTACGCTTTTGCACTTTAGCTGGGTTGCGAGTTGAGAGGTCAAGAATCTTGCTCTCTGAAGATCCAACTGATCCAACAGCACCCATAATTTATTGGGCTTGTCGGTGGTATGATGTTGACAGCAATTTATCAGCACGGCAACCTGGTGGCGCATGGCACATGGCAAGACAGTGCCATTGCCGCGTTGCGCCAGAAAAATCGGTACGTCATTGGCGAAACCCCGACAGCAGCTTCACTGCTGTGCACATACACAATCTCCCAGTATCAACATTTTTTTTGTAAGTGGCTTATGGGTTGGGACACTCTTGGGACCTCACAGTTCATGAACAACATGGATCACTACCTCTCATGGATGATCATGTATCTGTATATGTGATATTTATAAATAATATATATATATGTGTGTGTGTACAACCACTTTGGGGTTTGGAATTGCCTTGTTTTTGATTGTGACCGACCTCGCCCTGTAATGATTGTCGAATGGCTATATAATCAGATGGTCGCGGTGCGGCAAGTAATGATGGGAATATACTGGGGTTAGAATGGGAATCTAGTTGGTACCCTCTGGTAAACATACAAAAAGCCATTGAAAATGTCCATTTATAGTTGATTTACTAATTGAAAATGGTGATTTTCCATAGTTATGTTAGTTTACCAGAGGGTACTGTATATAATGAGGACATAATTCATGGGGATATAAGTTCTGGTGATAAAATGAGGAAAAGGATACTTAATGAGGAATAATATGAGGACATATTGAGGAATCTAGTTGGATATAAGTTCTGGTGATACAAGGATACTTTTTCCTTTGCCCTGGTTCTGTGAAGAGTAAGCTGAGTAAGTTTGTATCAACATGTATCAAACATATGATCCAGATGACCCAACAAAAACTCAGGTTCCTCACTTCCATGTGTATTTCAACTGAATTCTGCTCTTCATTCGGATCATGCAACCAAGCATTCCCTGATTTCCTGCATCGCCCCTATGACATTTCTGGTCCCCCTAGACCCAATGAAACGGTCGTATCAACCAGACATTTTTCTTCACCCATTTGGTGCGGCTAAACCATCTGACGCCGATGACCGAATGCAAGCCGCAAAAGACAAGTTTTGGCCTCATCTGCGGGACCAAAAACGAGCCCTGCGCGACCTGGTGCCAGGCTCTAAGGGTGGCCACTTGTTTCATGGCGATCCAGTTGGAACCATTTTTTGAGGAGACCTGTTGTGTATTTTTTTAGATGTCACAATGTTTCACATAAAGTAAAGATGGGTCGTTTGGTTCTCATGAGACTTAACAATTGAAATAGGTTTGGTTTGCAGGTGGTATCCTCCACTGGGCATATGTATCCTCGATTTTTGTCCACCCAGAGGTCATCAAACATTGTTCTATTTCTGATAGAGAAGTGTGGGTGAAATCAAGTTAATTCATGTTAAATCAGCATGTTTATTATCATGTTGGTTGAACTGCCCGGTTACATCACCCTTATTGACGTGGTTAGATTTCTTCTTTTGTTGCTTAAATTCCACATGTAGTTTGCTCACTTTTGGCTATTAAATGGGCATTGTTTCATGTGTTTTGTTTTTCTTGGTTACTGTAAGTTTCCATGTTCGATTTTGTTTTTTCTCGTTGAATTGAGCTACAATTGAACTTCTGTTATTAATTAACTTCCGTTGATGCCCATGAATGTTTGTTACTTGCTCACTGAATTCAATTCATGTTCACTCAGTTCCATGAATTTCCATAATTTTCCATTGACTGCTCATGAAGTTCCATTAACTTCCTTTTTTTTGGCCACCCACCTTATGGTTTGCCTCGGGAAACTGGAAAACCTCAGGCTCCACAGCGGCACAGCAGAGGCCTTCCACGACCTGCTTGGTGGGGCACCCAGTGGGGTCCCGGGAGTACGAAAGAACTTATCGGAACATTACTAGCATTTGGAGATATTGAGAGTCTGGACGATTGTGGGACTCTTCCATTTTCTGAGGAATTTACCAATGATTACTATAGGAGAATTACATAGAATCTAAATTCTTAAACTGTTGATTCGTGTTGATTCCCATTAAAAAAAAAACAAATTCCCAAAACCAAACCGCCTCAGTTTTGGGGGCAGGACTTCCACTCGGTCACCCGCCCTGCACAGGCCCCTTGGAGGAGCCAACAGCCACATCTCCGCGCACAGATACGTACGAGTCGGATAACTCAGCTGGGCAGAGCGCTGGGGGCATGAGAATATCATAGAGGGTTGTTATGGGTTGTTGGCTTAAGCTAAGCGCATCTAAATCCCTCATCTTGTTGGTGAACTTCTCCAGTTCTTTTGGTTGACTTTTTTTTGTGGCGAAAAAGTCAGCAATTGATTTCCCTGATTTTGACCAAATGAAATGTTGTAAGTCCAATTAATCTTGTCCTGCCCACATGTTTCCCAGATCTTTGACCCAATCGGCGCTCAATGACCACCGCAATAGCATGGTGAAGATCATGTTGAGAGCAGCCAGCTCGGGGGTATGTGATTTGACATTTGCAACCCATTGGCTATATATATTTATATACACGTATACATATTTATATATATATATATATATACACGTACATATATACACGTATATGTATATACACGTATATACATATATATATATATACACATATATACACGTATATGTATATACACGTATATACATATATATATATATATATACATATATATATAATATATTATATATATGCATATTACATTTGTTTAAATACAAATTATATATTTAATTATATATTAATATTTATGTATTATAGCTTTATATATAATTTTACATATTATATTGCATATATATATATGCATCATACATTATATTATATATTATGTATTACCATAATTTATATATTATATATACATATATATATATATAATTGCAGCATTTTGGTATAGTTGGAACTTGGAACTATGTTGAAATCGAGTTTAACCAGATCTATTCCCCATTTTCCCGGCATTTCCTTGGCATTTCTGGTTTCCACCCCCTTTCGCGAGGCAGGACTTCCGCAACGAGCTTCGTGACGCAGTGAGGGTGGCCACCTTGGTGAATGGCATAGATTTGGGCATGAATGGATGGTTATATAATAATGGTGAATCATGGGGGAAAGTCATAACGCGGATATGTATATATTAATTCATGAGTAAGCATATAAATTATTACTTTGGCCTGGCCTCTTCTTATTTTTTTTAATGGATTAATATTGAATTATCGTTGAATATATTTGGAATTATGTTAGTACAGCAAGATATGATGATACTACATGATATTAGTATATAGGATTATTATGAACCTTTGCTGTTAAAGGGTTGGTTATGATTGGATGTTTAGCCTTCAGAAATATGTCAATTTCTATTTTTACCTGACAGACTTTGACCAAACATTGTGAAGCTTTGACCGGCTACTGGTGCCCCTTTAAGAAATGAGATTTTGTTGGAACCAGGTGCCGAGGAAACAGTTGTGGCCCCCAAACTCATGGTTGACGTCAAAATATCATGTTGGATTGTGTGTTTTATCACTCAATCATTTGCTGCGTAGTCAATAGGTATGTCTGGAAGAACATGAAAAATTGGTCATGATTTTCCTGATTTTCCTTTGTTGACATCAAAGAGGATGCATTTTTAAGATTGTGAGGGGGACAGGTGAGGGAACAAGAAAGGTGTTTTTCCTTGGAACTGATTTGTTCATCCTGAGAAGAACCAGCTCTGAGAAAAAAACAATACCCAATTCAGTTCCCATTTGTGGTTTATTCCCTATACTATATGTTTGTTGTTTAAAACATATTACCTCAATGATCTGAAATCATGTGAAATCCCGCTTTGTGTTGTTTGCAATCCATCATTCGTTGAACATTTCAAATTTACAGTATACCTGGTTAAGACAGTTTGCTGGGATCCGAAGCCCAAATCCCAGAATTGGTTCAAGGGAAACTCCACAGGAAACTCAGGAAACCCCATGTTAGCCTATATGTTTGGTGTTGTTTGGTGGTAAAAGACTTTGTTATTCTTAAATCAATCCATGTTTCCACTCAGCTTCCATCCGTTTTATTGAACTGTATTGACTAAGATCTCCATTTTTTACTGCTTGACTCTCCATTTTCTGGTGAACTCACCACGTCTCTTCGTTCGCCGCGTTGTCGTTCAGGCCTGCGACGTCGAACGTCTGGGCTCTGTGCTGGACAGTGGGTCATCTTTGCCCAGCGCACGACGTGTAGAGGCTTGGTAATGAGACAGGGGGAATGGGTCAAAATGGGTCAAATATTGAACCATTCATAACCGTTATCATTAGTGAATAAATGTTAAGGATACATTAAAAAAAGAAACATTATGGTCAGAATGTTTTTTGATACTGGTTATATATATTATATATATTAACCAGTTAATTAAGTTGTATTATTACGGGTGACTAATGATGAATCAATATTTTTCAATGGTGAACTGAATAACGGATAACAATAACTTAAATTTGCTGATGTTTGTGATTTTTCCCCATTGGTTAGTGCAGCGTATGGGGAATCTACATGTTGGTGTGCTCCTTACGACACCGAGATCTTCATCCCTTGGGCAACCTCTCCACTACTGTGTGCTATATGTTGCAGTCATTCTTGATAGATGTTCCATGTTGTTTGTCCGATGTTTTTTTTGTTTTGGCTACACAATGTACAGTACATCTGAAATGTATTGAAATGTTCAATTTGTTCATTACGTTCCCTTTGTTTATACAATCTTGCAACTTGTGTTGATCGAGTCAAGCGCCATTTTTGACGTGATCATTCGCACCAGGTTCATGACCTTTTTGTCGATCCAACATTGGGAAAACTCCCGTTTCCAACAGGCCGCTCTGAAATCCAAGATGACACCTCCGCAATGCATCCAAATGAAATATATTTTTGACAAGCGATCAAGGATGACGTTCCTTCAGAAACAATGGCCAATTTGGTTTTCCCCTTTGTAAATTCGACAAATCCTTCATTAATAAATATTTGGTCCGATGAAATTCCCACTAGAACGTGCTCTATATCCTATAGGATATTATAGGGGATTTTCCAATATATAAAACCGTTGTTTTTCCCATATTAATCCCATTAAATACCATCGTTTATAGTCTGAGTTCCCCATATTTTCCCATCTCCACCACTCTCTCACCAAGCCCGACAACGCAGATCTTGGGTGAGAGTGATGGCAGTGGACGTACGCTGCTGCATCTCTGCGCCTTGGTCGTCACGCTTGCGGAAAAGGGTGGCTGTGGATGTGGGTAAAACATGGTAAAACAACGACAAAACATCACCAAAATCACCATAGGTGGATAATTACAAAGATCTATTGATAATTATCTATTCAACTAGTGTAAATTTTCTTCGATATCTATTGTGTTCCTTTTTGTTGCAAGTTATCTAAGATTCGCTTGGCGATGGAACATCCAGCGCGTATAGATGACCCGCACACTATTGTTCCCATCAATAATGACTATACAGTATGAACAATTCCCCTTTGAAGGACGGTATGTAAATCATCTACATTTCTCGATAATGTCCGTTCCCAGTCCGGAGAGCTTAGTGTTTTTGATTGATGAAAACTTCCATGTGCATCCCAGTTGGTTTGTTCATCCATATGTACATGTTGTACGTTCAGAACAACGCAGTGAAACACTGCACATTGGTCAATCCAAAACTTGGTTTTCCCTAAACAAGTGTTCATCATCATTTTCCGTGTGGCATAAAAATTGTGATAGCTCGATTCCTGTATCAAACCAAAAGATATTTACATTATCCCACTTTTTATTTCCCCAATTTTGTATCTAAAGTATGGTTGTTTTATCAATATCTTCTGTTATAGACATCGCTCGCCAACCTTCATCACTCAGGTCCCACCTGGGCCAACAGTAACAATGCCACGAAGGTGCCGGGCCCTATGGTAGCTATGCAAAGTGGCCGATGTATAGATGATTTACCATGAAGATACCATGATCGATCTATTAAACATGGTGATGTTCCAGCTATGTTGAAATACCAGAGGCTACTTGGTGTCAATTTTTGACCACAGGCCAAAGCTTGATCCAAAATGTTCCGTTTTTTGCCGTAAGATTGCATGCGTTAGCTGGGATTGTTTATGCCCAGCTAAACAAAAAGCTGCAGGGTAACCAATCAGACATAAAGATACATGGCATAAATTATCACATATTATCACTGTCGGCCTCAAGGCAGTTTGTGTGACCTCTACCGACGCCCATAGATTACGTTGGACACTAGCTATAGTTTTGGGTTTCTCTCAAAGTAGAACACCCCAAACCAAAATCCTGTGAGTTTTGATCATGTTCCCCATTAAAACTACCATTTTGAGGTTATCCTTATTTCAGACACATCACGGGTTTGTGTCCTTTCAAGAACGATCCCTGGACGTCCTCAGACATTTTTGGCGCGCTTGCATTCCATCGTCCTGCTGGAAGAGACTGGATAGAATTCATTAGAATTCGCATAATTTCTGAATAAGATAGAATATGGAGAACGTATACAGCATTGGCAGAAATTGAGCATTTTGGTATCCTTCTCCACACACCTGATAGTGGATGAACATCCTTCTTTTTAGGGATGGTAGGCCCTAGTTTCCAGGGGAACATTCACATTTTAGAATGTGTTTGTTGGTGAGTATCTTCATGTCATCCCATTGTGATACCAGAACTTTGCCCCAAAAACTCGAGAAACACACATACTTCAAAATGTGTGCCTCTCCGTATCCCACATATTCCCAAATTATCATATATGTTTTCCCATGTTATCCCTATATAATTAATTCATATATAGCCGCCATTGTATTGGCTAAGACTTCAGACCCCAACCCGACGGCCCAGGCAGTGAGGAAATTGCTGGACAGCTCGGCCGGAATGCCCAAGAAATCCGCGCTAGGTTTTTACGTTTTTTGGGGTGTAATAGTGCATGCATTGGGTGAAATACCAGTCTTATAACATATTCATCGAAGGAAGTTTAGAAGTCAAATTTCCGACAATATGGACAGATGAAAAGCAGAGATGGGAAGAGTCAGAGAGAAGAGACGAGTAAAGAGAGAAGATCAGAGAAGAGAAAGAGTCAGAAGAAAGAGGATGCAGATGCGCGAAAAGGTAGGAAAGTCGCGAAACACTGTGTTTTTCCAATGATTTGTGGCTCCGGAGGGTCGAAAAGTAGGCTCGCTAAAGCGGCGGGTGAGGAGCCAGCTGGCCAGATGAGGGATGAAAAATTGCACGCCGTTGTGGCGCGAAGCACATTTCCAAGTCACAATGTACAAGACACACCAGCTCCACACCACTTTTGGACGTTCACATGTCGAAAAAGTGCACGCCGTTGTGGCGCAAAGCACATTTCGAAGTCAAAATGTTGAAAACACCAGGGGTTCGGACCACTTTTGGACGTTCAGATGTCGTTTCGCGTGGCAGGCGCAAGGGATGGTGCACCTTGTCAAAAGTTAGCAAAACTGACGGTTTTGTAGCATTTCCAAAAATGATGGCAGGCGTGGGACATTTGAAGAGGATCTGCAAAGGTGCATTTTCCGTGGCAGGCGCAGTACAAGAGACATCTTCATCGGAGCTGTTAGGAGGTGAGGGCGCTGATTTCCTGAGAGAGGTTGCATTTTGGAGCATCAGATTCAGGTTTGCTGAGATGATTTTGCGTGACAGGTGCAGCACTTCGTATGACCCGGCATCACTTTTTCGTGGCAGGCGCAGTACTTTCGACAGGTGGACTGGAAAAATCGCAAAACGCATTGGTACGAGGCTGTCAGATCTGCACTCAACTTTCCATTTTTGAAGGAAGTCTCGCAGAATTGCTTTGTTTTTGATGTTGTCAAGTTCTAGAATTCAAGAAGTCTCGCAGAATTGCTTCGTTTTGGATGTTGTTCAGTTCAAAAAATGAAGAAGTCTCGCAGAATTGCTTCGTTTTTGATGTTGTCAACTGCGCACAATGAGGAAGTCTCGCAGAAGAGCTTCATTTTCAAGCTTGCAGATAGACAGAGACAGACAGAGACAGACAGAGACAGACAGAGACAGACAGAGACAGACAGAGACAGACAGAGAGATAGATAGATAGATAGATAGAATAGATAGATAGATAGATAGATAGACAGACAGACAGACAGATAGATAGATAAGATAAGATAAGATTAGATTAGATAGATAGATAGATTAGGTTAGGTTAGGTTAGGTTAGATTAGATTAGGTTAGATTAGCTTAGATAGATTAGATAGATAGATAGATAGATAGATAGACAGATAGATAGATTAGGTTAGGTTAGGTTAGATTAGATTAGGTTAGATTAGCTTAGATAGATTAGATAGATAGATAGATAGATTAGATAGATAGATAGATAGATAGATTAGATAGATTAGATAGATTAGATAGATTAGATAGATTAGATAGATTAGATAGATTAGATAGATTAGATAGATTAGATGGAGTAGATAGATGAGATAGATGAGATAGATTAGATCGATAGATAGATAGATAGATAAATAGATAGGTAGATAGATAGATAGATAGGGATGGATGGATAGATAGATAGATATATAGATAGATAGATTAGATAGATTAGATAGCTAGATAAAGAGATAGGTAGATAGATAGATAGATAGGCAGGTAGGTAGATAGATAGATAGATAGATAAACAGATCGATCGATCGATAGATGGATAGATACATAGAAAGATAGGCAGGTAGGTAGATAGATAGAGAGATAGATGGACAGATAGATAGATAAATAGATAGATAGATAGATAGGTAGATAGATAGATAGATAGGGATGGATGGATAGATAGATAGATAGATAGAAATATAGATAGGTAGATAGATAGATAGATAGAGAGATAGAGATAGAGAGATAGAGAGATAGAGAGATAGATAGATAGATAGATAGATAGAGAGATAGAGAGATAGAGAGATAGAGAGATAGAGAGATAGAGAGATAGAGAGATAGATAGATAGATAGATAGATGCATAGATAGATGGCCAGATAGATAGCTGGCCAGATAGATAGCTGGCCAGATAGATAGATAGAATAGATTTAGATATAGATAGAATAGATTTAGATATAGATAGAATAGATTGAATAGATTGAATGGATAAAATAGATAGAAGAGATAGAATAGATAAAATAGATAGAATAGACTAGATAGAGGAGATAGATTAGATAGATTAGATGGATTCGATTGGTTAGATAGATTAGATAGATTAGATAGACAGACAGAGATAGATAGATACATAGATAGCTAGGTAGGTAGGTAGATAGATAGTTATATTGACAGATGAGATAGATAGCTAGATAGATAGACAGATCAATAGATAGATAGATCAATAGATAGATAGATAAACAGATCGTTCGATCCATAGATAGATAGATAGATAGATAGATAGATAGGCAGGTAGGTAGATAGATAGATAGATTAGATAGATTAGATAGATTAGATAGATTAGATAGATAGATAGGTTAGATAGATTAGATAGATAAGATAGATAAGATAGATAAGATAGATTAGATAGATTAGATAGATAGATAGGGATGGATGGATAGATAGATTGATAGATAGATAGTTAGATAGATGGACAGATAGATAGATAGATAGATAGTTAGATAGATAGATAGATAGATAAACAGATAGATCGATCGATAGATAGATAGATACATAGAAAGATAGGCAGGTAGGTAGGTAGCTAGATAGAAAGATAGATAGACAGACACAGAGAGAGAGAGAGAGATATAGATAGATAGATGGATGGATGGATAGATAGATAGACAGACAGACAGAGAGACAGACAGACAGAGATAGATAGATAGATAAATAGATTGATCGATAGATAGATAGATAGAGAGATACATAGAAAGACAGGCAGGTAGATAGATAGATAGATAGATGGACAGATAGATAGATAGATAGATGGATAGATAGATAGATAGATAGATACTTAGATAGATCGGTAGGTAGGTAGGTTGATAGTCAGAGAAAGAGAGAAAGAGCGAGAAAGAGAGAGAAAAGAGAAAGAGAGAGACAGAGAGAGAAAGAGAGGAGACCTCAACCACCTTTCGGTCCATCAGTGGATTCGCTCTGCGATCCGTGATTCACAACGACCAACTTCTCCTATAGGTTTCCTTTTTTTGAAACTCCCGCCACCGCCTTGTGCGGTACTACTGGTACATATTCGTATTGTAACTAAGGTTTGTGGTGTGTATATGTCTACATAAATATGTATATATATATATATACACTGTATAAATACACTGTATATATTTATGTATTTAAACAATTACATATAATTACACATGTATGTACATATATATATATATGTATATCGTTTACGTAATGTGCTACGGGCTTCAAAACAAGCATAATGTGGTAAACACAATGCCATGGATCTCACCTGGGGTTCGGGTGAAACATTGGACGGCTTTATTATCGGGTTTACCACATCATACAGGTTTGTATGCCTACTGCCGTATTTTTTTTGAATGTGCGCGCGTAGACGCATAAATGTCCTGTTTGCATGTAATTACGCATCTATACTAATTACACACGTGGGTATGTATACATATATCTATATATATATAAGAGTATGAGTGTTTATGTGGTTCAAATACACGTAGAGCAAAAGATAGATGGATGGATTGATAGATGGATGGATGGATCGATAGATAGATAGATAGATAGATAGAGAGAGAGAGATAAATAGATAGATAGATAGATAGATAGATAGAAATTTCGTTAGATATAGATAGATAAGCACATAGGTAGATAGATAGATAGACAGACAGACAGATAGATAGATAGATAGAGAACTAAATAGATAACTAGATACATAGATAAATAAATGATTAGATAGATAAACGCGTAGATAGATAAATAAATGAATAAACAAATATATATATATATGTATATATATATGGATGAATAAATGGATACATGGATAAGTATTTAAACTGATCGATAGATAGATAAGCACATAGATAGATAGAAAGATGGGTAGATGGGTAGATTGATAGGTTGGTAGGTAGATAGATAAACCAAGAGATAGATGATAGATATGTGTGCAGCAGTTTCACCAGTTTTGATGGCCAGCCGCAAGGCCAATTGCGACGCAGTGGACGCCTTTGGTCGCACCCCTTTGGAGGCGCTAAAGCGGCGGTGTTCTTTTGAGGACCAAACTGGGGTGCAGTTTGGCTCACTTTCATGGATATGGCCTTGGTGTTTTGGGGCTGACACTTGGGATATAACCAGTATGTTATGACCATATGCCTACTGATTAATTCGAAATGCACATCCCCCAGTAGGGTCAAGTATCCCCAAACTGCCTGCTTTTGTTCACACTAGTTGTTTGATGTATTTTCAACACATGCTTGGAAACCAGAAAGGTTACATGATTTGTTCAAATGGGGACACTTGGAGGTTACACTGTTGAAAACACAGTGGCTTGATATTCACCCATGTGTAGTGTATATGTTTTCCAGTTCTTGTCAACACTGACGAGTATCTGATTTCATTACATGAGGATACAATCACTAAATGTCGTGACTAGTTTCAAACATGTGCGTTTTCCCATACATCAGGAGAAGATGATGAAGATGAACATGACGAAGATCATGGTATGTAATACCATATATAATTATGGAATATAATTTTATGATTCCATACATTACTAGTATAGAATTGATGACTATAATCCATAATTAAAGAGTTGATTATATATATAATTTACATTTTAATGGTTAACATCATCTAGTCATTCATCATGGTATACATTTTGATGACTCGATGCTGGCTCCATGATCCAAATTGATCACAGGCGGCCATTGAGTCCTGTGCGCAGCGCGAAATGGAGGATCCTGAGCCAGTCCGGGGAGCCCAAGGGGGGGTGAGATTTAACTATGATTTACCGATGAAATGTGGATGTTATGGTATTTTTTTTGTATATATATATGCATATGTATGTGTGTGTATATATGTGTATATATATATATATATATATTATATATATGTATTTATGTATATATATATATATATATATATACATATATGCATATATACATATATGTAAATATCTATATACATAAATGTATATGTATATATGGTCTCGTGTTCCGTGTTCCTACCCCCCCCCCCCCCCCAATGGTATGGGTCCCCAGGCAGCACCCCCTTCCCTTCTATTTGCATGCTATTGGCAGCATTTCTGAGGTTCAGCCTCGTATTGGCTAGGTCTTTGCAGCATTTCTGACTACCAGCCTCGCATTTACTAGGTACATGCTACCTTTTAGAGGACCCACGTAGCACACATGCTCCCTCAAAGTACCTACGTGCTACCTATAGTCATATATACATGTGCTATGTATCTACTTCGTATTTACTACCCTCACAACACTACATGTGTTTAACATATACCGTGCCTACCATACATTCCAATGATACCATACATACCATACATATGAAACATACCAACTCTGACCATACATACCATACCTATCATACCTATCATGCATACCACACATACCATACGTATGAAACATAATTACCACACCTCCCATACATACAATACCAAACATACATGCCATACATACCATACCTACCTTACATAGCAAACATTCCATACCCATCATAGTAACCAAACATACCATACAGACCATACATACTGTCATATCAAACATACCATACCCAACAGGCTTACATACCATACCTACCATCCATACAGTACCACACCCCCACCACACCACAGGGGGAGGATGGGGACAGTACCACACTTTTATGACACCACAGGGTGCGGACAGTACCACACCCCCACCACACCAGGGGGACAGTACCACACCCCCCACACCACAGGGGGGGAGGGGGGGGGATAGTACTATGGCTGACCCATGACCATGGCCCGGGGGGAGGGGGGTTGGAACGCTGGATCATATATATATATATATATATATGTACACATATATATATACATGTATAATATATATAAATATATATATATATGCTAGCCCCCCCCAAGATCTACTTTTGATGCACTTCTGGAGACGTACATGGTCAAACTCAATGACTTTAAATGGAAATTCTATTTAATTCATTAAATTCATTTAATTAGTTTAATGAATTAAATGAATTAAGTAGAAAACTTATTTAGTTCATTTAATTAATTAATGAATTACATGAATTAAATAGAAAACATATTTAATTCATTAAATTCATTTAATTCATTTAATTCATTAAATATCTATTTAATTCATTTAATTCATTGAATTAACTTAATTCATTTAATTAGTTTAATGAATTAAATGAATTAAATGAATTGAATGAATTAAATGGATTAAATAGATTAAATGGAAAACTGTTGCTGGAATCTGAGGTCCCTAGGAATTAAATGAATTAAATGAATTAAATGGAAAATCTATTTAATTCATTTAATTCATTTAATTCATTAAACTAATGAAATGAATTAAATGAATTAAATGGAAAATCTATTTAATTCATTAAATTCATTAAATTTATTTCATGAATTAAATGAATTAAGTGGAACATCTATTTAATTCATTTAATTCATGAAATAAATTTAATGAATTTAATGAATTAAATAAATTAGATGGAAAACTGTTTCTGGAATCTGGGGCCCCAGGAACTGAATGAATCCAATGAATTAAATGGAAAATTTATTTATTTCATTAAATTCATCTAATTAGTTAAATGAATTAAATAAATTAAATGGACAACTGTTGCTGGAATCTGCAGGCCCCAGGAATTACATGAATTAAATGAATTAAATGGAAAAAAATTTTAATTCATTGAATTCATTAAATTAATTAAATGAATTAAAAGGAAAATTTACTTAATTCATAAAATTCATTAAATTTATTTTGATGAATTTCATGAATTAAATGGAAAATCTATTTAATTCATTTAATTCATTGAAAGAGTTTGATGAATTGAATGTTTAAAAAAAATACTTTACTTCGTGTGATCCCCACCATGACATTTATACATTTTGTTACTGGCAAATCTTCTGGCATTCTATCTGACATATTTTCTGGCATTCGATCTGGCATTCTATCTGGCGTATCTTCTGGCATTCTACCTGGCATATCTTCTGGCAGATGTTCTGGCATATCTTCTGGCAGATGTTCTGGCATATCTTCTGGCATATCTTCTGGCATATGTTCTGGCATATCTTCTGGCATTCCATCTGGCATTCTATCTGGCATATCTTCTGGCATATTATCTTGCAAATCTTCTGGCATTCCATCTGGCATTCTATCTAGCATATCTTCTGGCATATTATCTGGCAAATCTGCTGGCATTCTATCTGGCAAACATTCTGGCACTTAATCTGGCATATCTTCTGGCATTCTAGCTGACATTCTAGCTGACATTCTATCTGGCATTCTATCTGGCATACCTTCTGGCATTCTATCTGGCATATCTTCTAACATTCTATCTGGCATATCTTCCGGCACTCTATGTGGCATATCTTTTGGCGTGGATACTCGCGGTTGAGGTCCGGCAGGGAACACTGGGCGTGGATGGTCGTGGTTGAGGTCCGGCAGGGAACACTGGGCGGGGATACTCGCGGTTGAGGTCCGGCAGGGAACACTGGGCGGGGATGGTCGTGGTTGAGGTCCGGCAGGGAACACTGGGCGTGGATGGTCGTGGTTGAGGTCCGACAGAGAACACTGTGCGTCGAGGGTCGCGGTTGAGCAGGAGGAGGAGAGGAGAGGAGGAGAAGGAGGACGAGAAGAGGGAGGAGAAGGAGGAGGACGAGGACGAGGAGGAAGCAACTGACATAAAATCTAACAACCCTCACCTGGCAGGTGGGGAATAATTCAATGGAAGACTGTTTCTGGGATCTGGGGACCCCAGGAATAAAATGAATTGAATGAAGTGAATGGACAATATATTTAATTCATTTAATTCATTTAATTAGTTGAATGAATTAAATGAATTAAATAAATTAAATGGAACACTGTTTCTGGAATCTGGGGACCCCAGGAATTGAATGAATTAAGTGAATTAAATGGAAGTCTTTTTAATTCATTTAATTCAAATAATTCATTTGATTAATTTCATGAATTAAATGAATTAAATGGAAAATTTATTTAATTCATTAAACTCATTTAATTCATTTAATTAGTTTAATGCATTAAATGAATTAAATAAATTATATGGAAAACTGTTTCTGGAACCTGGGGACACCAGGAATTAAATGAATTAAATTGAAAATCAATTTAATTCAATTCATTAAACTGATTAAATGAATTAAATGGAAAATCTATTTAGTTCATTAAATTCATGAAATTCTTTTAATTAATTGAATGTTAATTCATCTAACTCATTAAACTAATTAAATGAATTAAATGGAAAATCTATTTAATTCATTAAATTCATTAAATTCGTTTAATTAAATGAATTAAATGGAAAATCTATTTAATTCATGTAATTAGTTTACTGAAGCTAACTATTTTCCATTGAATGAAAGCCAGAAAGGGAACAATCACATAGACCCTATTATATCCTCTATTTGCTCTCTGGATATTTCATAGCTAGCTCCTCAGCTGTCTTTCTTTATACTTAGAGTTTTCTTGATTTGGGTTGAATCTTAGGAAATACAAAATAACCAAAACCTCGAGAAAACCAAAAAACAAAAAAAAACAAAACTTTTCAGAGAATGTTTGGTCTGAGGCTCATGTTTGTTTTTTTTTGGTTTTGCCTGTTTTTTTTGTTTTTTTTGGTCTTGGCCTTGAAAAAACTAAAAAAACTCAAGTTTTTTGTTTTTTGGATAAAATGATGGTTAAAGAAGTGTGAAAAACAAAAAACTCAAGGTTTTTTTGGTTTTTCATTGCGCGGCCAAAACGAAACTAAAACCACAAACACCCAAAAACAAAAATTACTTTACTTCGTGTGATCCCCGCCATGACATTTATACATTTTGTTACTGGCAAATCTTCTGGCATTCTATCTGACATATTTTCTGGCATTCGATCTGGCATTCTATCTGGCATATCTTCTGGCATTCTAGCTGGCATATCTTCTGGCAGATGTTCTGGCATATCTCCTGGCAGATGTCCTGGCATATCTTCTGGCATATCTTCTGGCATATGCTCTGGCATATCTTCTGGCATTCCATCTGGCATTCGATCTGGCATATTATCTGGCAAATCTTCTGGCATTCCATCTGGCATTCTATCTAGCATATCTTCTGGCATATTATCTGGCAAATCTGCTGGCATTCTATCTGGCAAACATTCTGGCACTTTATCTGGTATATCTTCTGGCATTCTAGCTGACATTCTATCTGGCATTCTATCTGGCATACCTTCTGGCATTCTATCTGGCATATCTTCTAACATTCTATCTGGCATATTTTCTGGCACTCTATGTGGCATATCTTTTGGCGTGGATACTCGCAGTTGAGGTCCGGCAGGGAACACTGGGCGTGGATGGTCGTGGTTGAGGTCCGGCAGGGAACACTGGGCGGGGATACCCGCGGTTGAGGTCCGGCAGGGAACACTGGCGGTGATGGTCGTGGTTGAGGTCCGGCAGGGAACACTGGGCGTGGATGGTCGTGGTTGAGGTCCGGCAGGGAACACTGGGCGTGGATGGTCGTGGTTGAGGTCCGACAGAGAACACTGTGCGTCGAGGGTCGCGGTTGAGCAGGAGGAGGAGGAGAGGAGAGGAGGAGAAGGAGGACGAGAAGAGGGAGGAGAAGGAGGAGGACGAGGACGAGGAGGACGAGGAGGAAGCAACTGACATAAAATCTAACAACCCTCACCTGGCAGGTGGGGAAAAAACCTTGAGTTTTTTTGTCTTTTTCACAATTCTTTCACCATCATTTTATCCAAAAAACAAAAAAACTTGATTTTTTCTAGCTTTTTCAAGTTCAAGACCCCCAAAAAAAAACTAGGCAAAACAAAAAAAAAACAAACATGAGCCTCAGACCAAACATTCTCTGAAAAGTTTTTTTTTCGAGTTTTTTTTGATTTTGTCAATAGAGCTTTCCCAAAGAGTCTCCAAATATTGTTTTTTTGTTGGTTTTCTCGAGTTTTTTTGTTTTTTCGGGTTTTCCCCATGGATTCTCTCCAAGAGAGTCGTCAAATATTGTTGTTTTGTTTCCAATTTGTTTTGATAGTGTGCACAGCTACTACCCACAAGACATCTAAAAAAAATAACTGACTCTTATACATATATGCACATAAATATACTGTATATATATATTATGTATGTATATATATATATACATGTAGAGACAATATATCAAAATGCTCTGAGGTAGATCTCGGGGGGGGGTACCATATATATATATATATATTATATATATGTATGTGTGTGTGTATGTATGCATGTATTTTATCATATTAACATGCGTATTGTTCACCTGAAAGATGTTTATTACCGCCTTTAAATGCCTGTGAATGTTTACGAATTATGGGATAGGTTTACGACTTTTGGATGTTATTGGATTGTTACCCTGCACATATTATATGTTGTTGGATATTTACATGCATGATTGCCCGTTTGAATGACATTTATCTATAAAATATAGATGGTCACTCATTTGTTGGGATGTTACCAAGCAAGACTGAGAGGTGGAACCGTAACCTTTGCGGAAAACCTGTCTTTTTTCCCACAGTCAGAAGAAGAATTAGGCAAAAACATCATGTTTTTTTCTGGTTGGTTAGCATTATCACGAAAGCTAGCGTCAGCTAGCTGGAGTCTTCTTGCTTTAGCAAGTATTGACGGGGCTTCTCAAGGACATCACGTGATTTTTCACGCGAAAGGGCCCCCCCCCCCCCCCCCCCCCCCACTCCCCCCCACCACCACCACAACACCACCACCATCACCCATCATCATCATTCATCGTCATCATCATCGTCATCGTCCTCTCCATCGTCCTCGTCCTCGTCATCGTCATCATCATCAAATCATCTATCATTCGTCATCCTCGTCATCGTCCTCGCATCGTTCATCGCATCGTCATCGTCATCTCATCATCATCATCATCATCATCCTCGTCATCATCATCATCATCGTCATCATCGTCATCATCATCAACATCATTCATCATTCATCATCTATCATCATCATTCATCATTCATCATTGATCATTCATCATTCATCATTCATCATTCATCATTCATCATCATCATCATCATCATCATCGTTATTCAATTACATTTTTATCATTATTGGCAATTATTGTCATTATCACGAAAGCTAGCGTCAGCTCGCTAGAGTCTTCTTGCTTTAGCACGTATTCCGGGGCTCCCCAAGGACATCACGTGATTCTTCCCGCGAAAGGGCCCCCCCCTGCCCCCTCCCCCATATATATCATTGTTATATATCATATATCAATATATTATTGTTGCATCCTCGTTGGGACGAACAATGCCGCGACACGATGATGACAGTCCCTCCGCAACTCACCTCTTCCCTTCCTTCTTTCTCCTACCCCGCTTGCTTTCGTCATCCACCCCCGGCCTCAAGTATAAAGTTTAATCCCATCCCCCTGCATATATTATTAAGCACCCCCATTCTATGGTCCCAAATAAGTGTAAAACCCCTACTAAACCATGGTTTGTGGAGGGGTGTTTAATGGGGGAAGGAGTTGGATCGGATGAACTTTTGGGGCCGGCGCCTTGCCCCCAAAGGCACAGGAATTCTTTGGTGATCACTGGGTAAAATAATCTGGAACCTTTGTGACTGTGACTAGTCATGATTTACATATTTGTTTATGTATATATATATGTTATTATTATTGTTATTATTATTAGTATTGAAATTATGATTTATTTTTCATTATTTTTATTATTATTATTATTATTATATATTTCAATTTGTATTTATATTTGTATGATACCCTTTGGCAACTTGTTACAGTTTGCGAGGTGGAAATTGATTTGTCGAAACCAGGGTCCCAACATTTTGTGACCCAAGACTATTTTCTCAATTTGCCACGATGGAGCGGAGTTGCTGCCGTCATGTCCTGGCTGCACCCAGCAAAATCCGAGACGAGAAAGCAACGAATGGGCCCAGCATGTGTCGTACTCGTAGGGCAAGATGCGGATCATGATGTTTGAATCCGGAGACATTGCGACTTCTGGAGCAGAAGCCAGACTTGATGGCTAGCACCGCTCGAAACAAGGCAAGGAGTCGGCACTACGGCGAGCTCATCCAGCAAAGTATTGCCGGGCCATTGCTTTAGAAGTTGAAACAAACAGCACAGCACTGGGTCCCTGAAAACATGGGTTTGCATCAGGGGATTGATAGAAAGGACCCAGAAAAGTGGCAATGTATACTCAAGAATGGACAGAGAGTCAAAGCAAAGTGCAGATCGCAATCTGAGAAACATATAGCCAGGTCATGTCAAGCCTGCATTGTGTTTTTCCATACACGGTGATGTTCACCACTTGTGTTTGTTGATTTGCAAAACCCATGAGAGAGATAAAAACACGGCACCATATAATTCCCTGGCCCTAGTAGTACTAGTGGACTAAACACCCTTCGATAAGGAAACTGGGATACTGCCTTGCGTTCTGAGTGATCCCATTGCCCATGTTTCATCACCGGAGGAAGTATATTGTGCACATATATTAAAAATAGTTTAAAATCATATTCATATATGTTTTTTTCAACAAAATAAATAAATATATATATATAATAGGTATACACTGGTGTGTGTATGTATATATATATATATATATCCATATATACATACACATAAACATGTCAATGTAGATATGTGTTGGAACACGCATGTGTCGCAAGTACATATGGTTCACTTCGCAGTTTTTGTGAAACCACAACCAGCTGTTGCCGTGAAATCTGTCACAACTTTCCAGGTGCTAAAGCTCTGTGAAGCGCTGATACCCCACAGCAGTACACAGGTACGAATGGGAACAGGTATCCACCTTGGCCAAAGTGGGCAGGGTATTTGCACAAAAAAAACGGGGCTTAACCAATCCAATCTCCTAATATGGGCCAATAGCCCCTGTAAACCATGGTCTAATAGGGGTTTAAAATCACATCCATCGAATGGATGTGTTTAATGGGGGATGGGATTAAAACAATAAATCTACTGTAGGCGATAGTTTTGAACAGCAGTGAAGTGAAGATCTAATATAGTCAGCAAAACGTGGATCTTATATGGTCTTATCAAACGTGGGACTGGACCAAGAATGGCCAAGGTGAAGGTGATTTGAAGCAGAAATTGCATAGGGCGGGTACTGTAGCAATGAGGTATTGAATGTCAAACAACAATACATCGCAATACTAATGGTGTTGAATTCCTCTCGTTGATGACATTTGATGATCCGGGATGTGGTATGGCCCAGTTGTATATGAGGTATACGTATGATCTACACATGGATTATGTACAGAAACCACGGTTAACCTGAAACCGCATCCAGGATGCACATCCAGCCAGGTGTTCTTGGATAAGCAGACTGGCGACACTGCGATCGGTGACTTGGTGAACTTGGCGGTGGCATCCCTGTGGTTTCTCTCAGTTGGCTGGGCCGTAGGGTTAGTCCAGTTATGTCCAGTTCAATTGGGGATATATAATCATTTCTGACCTACCTAGTGCTTGTAACTGAGGTGAAACACCAAGAACCCAGAGCTCTAAATCAAAGAAACCATGTTGCTTAGGCATGTTCATTTTTCAACAGGACCAGTGTTTGAATGTTCTCTTTCTATTGCCGTCATGTTGGTGACCCAGATGTTGGCGCTTCGTTCCTTGGGTTTTCCTGGGGATTCCAGTCCGTTTTTCGCTGGGCTGGTGATTGTTGAATTGCAACCCTTCCAGGAACCCAAACCCAGAACAATCCCACCTGGGTTGCGAGGCTTAAGACTTAACACATCTCGCACACGAAACGAATCGGACCATTGTTATACTCAATCCTTTGAGAGTGTGACGATTGTTTTATTAGTTGAAGAATGTTAATTTCCAATTTTGCTTGAATTCAACTCCCAGTCAACTTCTCTGTATCGCAATGAGGTCGTGCGGTCGTGACCTTGCTGCAAGACCACGGTGTAGCAGTTGAAGTGGAAGGTCATCACCTTATGACCTTGTGATTTATGTGACCACCCCACTGTGGCCCATGATGGCTATAGGATTTTAATGGATTTTAGGGAAATCCTGGATAGTATTGGCTTAGTTTTGCTTAGTTCTGATTCTTTTTGATGTTTAGATTCTTTGTTAGATGTTTCGTGTGCTTTTTCCATAGATCCTAGTAGTGTTTCACCCCAAGGATTTTGATCTTGAGTTTGATGATGTTTTCAATTGCAAGACAGGGACCTAGAACCCTGGAATGTTGGAGTGGTTGTACACCACAATTTGCTGTCCTCGCCGCGGAGAGCGGACAATCGGTCATTTTGTGCTGAATGTTCCGATGTACTATAAGTGGGCAGGGGAATTGGGGAAAAAAAACGTCAATGAAGAACAATGAAGAAATAATCGGTACTGCCTTTTTGTTGGTGTAGCAGTTGGAAAATGCAGAGAGGCAGGGGACGAAAAACACAAAATCCAAGACAACGGTTGAAATTGGATGAAGATGCATACAAGACATGCAAGGTACATTTAAGATGCATTCCACACATTTCCACACTACAAGTGTCACTTCCAACTTTCTGTGTCAGGAGAGCCAGCGCCCACGGAAGCAGTTGAGGAGAGCACTGTAGCTGCAGGTGCGGTGGAATAGGGTGGCCTTAAAGAATGTGAAGCAGCTAACGGTTTCCATGAGAACTGGGAGTATTTTCCGCAACTTAAAATATCCTCTGCTGGTAAACTAACAAAAAGCCATTGAACATGGCCATTTAGAAATAGTTGATTTGCCCATTAAAAGTGGCGGATCTTTCCATCGTTTTTTGTGAACGTTTACCAGGCCGGGTCGGTCTTCAACCTGATCTCAGTGCTGTTACTATGACCTTCGAAGATCAGTTACCAGCAGTGTAGTTCAGGACCACTGTGATCGGAGAAACTTGATGAATGCGCTCGGCAAAGGGGTCCTTTTTGAGGATTTGTTAAGCATCATTTGTAGATGGTGATTGGATGTGATGGGTATAGTAATCCAATGGCTGATGTTCACATGGGACCTTTCACCAGCCTCGACATATGTTTTCGTGAAATTCAAGAGATGCTCCATCACTGATCAGTAGTTTTAGAATGTCTAATGTCTAATGTTTGCATAACAAAAAGAGGCAAGTTCCAGGGGCTGCTTCAAGGGGCTGCAGTGGTTCGATGATGTGGTGTGGACATCGAAGCTGATTGCAAACCAGACCCAGCATGTATCCTCTCTATCATATGGTGACGTAGATCCATTGCTGCCTGAATGGTGGGGGCGCAAAGGACATCATGAACACGGCAGTTGCTATGCAGCGTGCTGCAAGCTGCTAGGATTGCTAATTCGTTCCGAGCCCTTAGTTCTTTAAATTGTTTGGGACCGCATGCAGAAAGGACATGCATTGCTCTTAGCTAGTGGCGTGACATGTGAACATGTTCCAGGACTTGTTTAGGATCACGGCCGCAAGACAGTGAGAGCCCAAAGAGTTTGTGCCGACGCCCAAGCTAAGTTGCACAAGCAGGTCGTACTTTCTGCATGGCTGCAGAATTTGAAAAGATGTGATGCATACATGATCGATGATTCTATGATGCATTGATGTTGTTTAGTAGTTTTGAACTGTTACTGGTTATCTCAAGGGTTGGGCTGGGAAAGAATGGAAAAACGGGTTTTCCATGTCAAACTCATATTCTGCTAGTGAAAGGCTTTTGTTGAAATCATGGTTCTTTCTGGAGCAGCCAGCATACTTCTCATTGTTTGGCCCTGACACAAATAGATCAAATAGATTCATGTGGAACTTTGCTGGTAGAGATGTGAGGTAAAACCCGGCAGTGTCCATGGCAAGATAAGCGGTTTCGTGCTGTACAATAAATTCAGTAAGCTCCTGGTTGTTCATCTTTTTTCTGTTTATACTGGTGCAATGTCTAGACCTTTCCAGACTCATCTATGCTCCACATTTTGATTTATTTGTAATGTTTGCCCGTAAAATCTGTAGTCTTAGTTGCTTGAAACCTCTTGTTTTCTGAATCCATAGTTTTGCTTAGTTACATCTGATGTTTGCTCGTCAAACATCATAGAGTTTCTTTGGTTGTCACAAATTATTTTTACCTTGTTACCTTGCGACCTCGACCACCCAAAGTGCATCAACCTGTAGGTCCGGAAACCTCCAAACGCGCGCGCGGCCGAGCTCGGGATGACTTTTGGAAGTGTGCTACTGTTCATATGGCTCTGACTGTTCATTAGTAGGTATATGTAGGTATCCCCATATTTAATATGCTGATGCGGTCACCAAGCCGGCAAGAGCCATGGGAATGAACGACAGGGGGGGGGGTGAAGTGTCCTGGTTTTTTTTCGCCCCAAACTCTTCCATTTGCATCCATTTGCGGAGTCGTATTGTTGAAGGATGTTTCATAGAATTGGATGATGGGAAAATTTACTGGTTTAAGCCCTATATTTGATGGTAAAAACAATGGTTTCCGGTTAAGATTTTCACTTAAACCAATCCAATGAATGTTGAGGTGGTGATGATTCTCGGAGCTGTTTCTCTTTAAACCAATGGGTACGTGTCACGTGAGATTTTCAACTCGAGGCAGTCGGACTTACGGAACCTGTTTGAGCCACAGAATTTGGGAGAAAAAAATCGTGAAATGGTGTTGAGATTGAGAAACATAGGAGCTTCATTCACAAGCCATGTGTAGCACATCCTGGCTAGACTGGGTCCTTGGCGCTGAAAGATAAATAACTTATGTACTGTCCAGTGGTGAATGGAGGGTGCCATTAGGATCTATGGCTGTATCCATATTCCCAGCCTCCGCTCATCAAACATGGCACAACCATATTTCAATTAAACATATTTAAACTACTGCAGATTTCCGACATGTTTGATCATCTTCCCAGTCAAAGCCAGCCATGAGATCCATTATGTTTCAACAAGACCCTTACCACCCAAAAATTGGCAGGTGGATTGATGTTGAAACCAGCCATAGGTTGATTCGTGGCGATGTTCATCTTCTTTGGGTGTTTTCTATCAGTTACAATCAGTTCTATCAGTTATGTCACATGTCCATGTCATATTCCCATGTAATGCTGCACGTTTTGGCGTTTGAAACCAGCAATTCACCCGCTCCGCGCCTGCGCCTGCAACTGACATTTCAAAATGAAAGGGTTGGTACATTATAGTCGCATGGGTTTGCTAAACAAGTCCTTTATATATATATACTTTATACATATATATATATATATTTATCTTTATATACTTGCACTGCTCATCAATGGCCAAATAATTTAAAATATATTTTCTGACAGTTTTGTCGATCCAGCAGGGCCATTGCGACGAAAGTTCCATGCACGGCACCAAAGCTCCTGAATTGGATACCACTCAACAGTCCAAGGTGAACACATCAAGATCCCACAAATTACCAGATCAAAAAGTTTCAGCATGGGTCAAATCTAGGCTTCCAGCAAAGAACGATCAAAGTTTGCGAGTTTGTGATCCTCCAAAATAGGATCATGATGCCCATAGACATATTTTTTCAACAGAGGGGTGGCTCAACCAGCAAACCCAGAGCCTTCAAACCGAAAAAAATGGCGATGCTTGCAATATCTTGCAATATCATATTCAACCCTTGATTTTTCACGATGAGTTGCTGAATCTTTTGAGGTCATTTGGGGGATTTTATGGGACCCAGAAGGATACAGTTACCAGGTCGCTGCCCTCGCCATGCGCCGTTCCTTTTGGGTGTCAGAATGCAAGGTCTGGGGTTCGACGATATTGGCAGGATGGGGAGGATGGGGAACCAGTCGCTGACCTGGCAACAAGTTTGCAAAAATTGGCTTTGGAAGATGATACCCGGCCTGGTAAACACAGAAAAAGCTATTGAAAATGGCCATAGAAATAGTGGCTTTACCCATTAATAGCATGGTTATTTTCCATAGCTATGTTAAATTACTAGAGGGTACTTTTGATGCTTTTGATATTGAAAATGGATGAAACTCGCAACTTTAGGATCTTTAGGGGTACGGCTACTTGATAGATTTTAGTGTTGAGCTGCTTTGGACAATTTCAAGAGGCAATGCCGCGCTTCTGTCTCAGGTTTGTTGCCCAATTGCAACTGGCTCATTGCAAGGTAAATTGTCTTGTAACGTGAGACATATTAAATATGGTAGGGTCATAGCTTGTTGGTATCCCCCATTTTCACGCAGAACCGTTTGTACATTCATGTGATGAGGATGTGGGTACCTTGTCAATTAAAATTATGTAGGTACTAGTTATTCTTTCCCATATATATATAATGTTTATATATATATATATACGGTATATTTATATATACACACATATATGACTTCTGGTATTTATCATCTAGCTGTGGCTCTGTTTGGCTGGGCCACACGCGCGCCTTCAGCCTCGCTGAACTTGAGAGATGGCACTGGAAAATGAGTTGCAAGGAATGGACATAGTGTTCATGGTTCTGTGATGTTGGGTCGCGAGGCCTTCTGCTTCTATGACCGGGAAACCCAGGGATAACTCGCTACTTGGAGGGCGTGGCCAAATTCGGAAATGGGAGGCTAACAAGGGTATCCCATGCAGAAGTGGAGGCTTAAGCATGGTTGATACTTGCATGCATATATATTTATATACAAATATGTTTATTAATATATTACTATACATGTGATTTAACTGTTAACCAATAGAAAGGACAATGATCAGCAGTTTTTGATAGATACTGTAATAACAACAAAAAGCAAGTGGAGCCTTAAATACCGCAAGACAGTTGCTGTTGACTTCCCGACATGCTGTAAACAGGTCTGGCCACTTCTTGGATGCTGAAACCGGGGATTGGATTTATAGTGGTCCAATTTGGATTTTTAATCGTGATTTACGCAATACCACATCTTTATGATCTAATAATGATGGGAATGTGTTTTATGTTTCACTTTCCTGTGTACACGACTGCGACAGACATAAACAAACGCAGAATGGGCTGAGCAAAGACAAACCACATGGTTTCATTGATACACATTGTTGAGAACAGTTTCCAACTTGTTAGCTTTCATATTTGTGATGCCGGTCACTATTGATGTATCAAGTGATCGTCCTACCAGGATGTCATGTCAAGGTTGATTCCATGTCAACACATGCATTAAAAAACATACCTAGCTGTCAAATATATTGAACTACATTTATTAAAAGACCCCATATGATCCCATATGCATCATACATTCAACTGTACATACCACAATCGTTTAAGAAGCCACAAGCTACCAGGTGCCACGGCGATTTGGCATAGCACCGCCCTTGCGGCATGGGTCTACGGTGCGCCAGGTGCGCCAGGTCTCACGTCTTCCTGAAAATGATGCCCCCAAAATGGCAATTTAATGGTGATTAACCAATATGGTATACTCCGAAATATATCATATGGGTTAATCCCTAAAAATGATTTCCCAACTCATATTGACGTATACCCCAAATAACATAATGGTGGTTATATCCATTGGTGGATATATCCGTAGGTGGTTATATCCATTGGTGGTTTTATCCATTGGTGATCATTGGTGGTTATATCCAATGGTTATTCAATATTAAATGGTCATTTATGGTGGTATGGTGGTTATATCCATTGGTGGTATGCAAATATGGTGGTTAACCAATGGATTTGGGATATTCCATTTTCAGACAAACCCAATATGGATATTGTTAGGATATGATCTGATAAATCATGTTGCGACCTCACCTCGCAACGTCACATTTTGAAGTGATGGTTAGGATTCGGGGAGTCATCCCCAAATGGCCGCAAGATTTTCAGGCGAGATCTTGAACCATTCAGTGCCTCGGGAATGGGGCATCACCCAATGCTGTCAATTAATATCATGTATCAAGATATTTTACCTATAAGATTAATTAAAGACATGTTGGGGTCTTCCACATGTATATATTTCGATGATGGTAATATTATGTTTGATGGAAACACATTTGGGGTCTAAAATTGTGGTTTTAAACCAAACCAGTGCGTATTGATGTATCTTTGAGAATCGAGTGCCAGGAACAGGTTGGATGACGCCCATGGTTAGGAACTGTACATCTTACGCATTGCATTTTAAAAAACAATGCTTCGGAAATCAAGGAAGTCGCCTCCAAAACATGTTGGTGAACAATGATTAATCAATAGTTTTGAAAGCTGTTTTCAGCAAGCTGAACCAAGTAGAGAGGTGGCTGACAATAGTTTTTTTTGCGCTGGCATTGCGTCCAATGATGATCTTTGGTTACAGCCAGTTACAGCTCAAATGATGCTATGTGTGTCGGCATGTTGCAGACATTCCTGTTCCCGTGTTTGTTGCTTAGAAATTTACCGTAATATATAGACGGGTTCAAGCCCCGTTGTCAGCAATGTAGTGTCTCATTTTCCGCTGGTGAAATCATGTTTGTTT